TTACCACTGGCTTTTATCATTTAAGTTGTTTCAATGTTCTCTATCTCTGTCACTCAGCCAGTCTGATTGTACATTGTGTTGTCACATCTTACAGAGAGCTGCCGTCCTCCTTCCATGGCAAATATGGAAAGATCTTGTACACACTGGAAGCAAACCTGAGCAGGTCGATGAAGATAGACAGCAAAGCCAAGGCAGAGTTCACCCTCATCCACAAAGGAATCCCAGATCCAATGCTGATGGTATCTTTTACAACCTACCTCACAACACACACGCATTCACAATCACATGTCCAAGATGTCTGCTGACTTGGACTCTGCATGAGAATTATCACTGTATGTAACCAATTTGTGATTTTCCTGTCAGATTCAACAGCAAGGTAACATCGATAAGAAGATGAAGCTCTTCAACTCAGGAACAGTAGGCATGGATGTGAACATTGAAAAAACAGGCTTCCACCAAGGTAATGTTGGATTGTGTACGATCTAATGTTATTAAAATCTCCATTTATTGCACAGATCATCTCAATGATGGGGCTGCAATGACAAATAAACTCTCCTCCTGCAGCTGACCATTGTGCAGCTCAAAGTCCCTTTGCTCATGGAACATTTTTATGGTCTACAGATAAGCCACGATTGAATGAGACNGGATGGATGTTCTCAAGGAAGGTGGCGTCAGGAGTGATCAAACCAGAGACTCTACCTCTAACAGAGGGTGCAGCATTCACTCTGTGCCTGTCTGCAGACCAGGACTGGATCCTTTTACAGAACATGTCTCTGAAGGCCAGTGACTATGGACGGACATTAGGTGTGAATGGGTATGAGCCAGTTCCAACACTAGACCCCATGGCTCCTGAGGAGCTACTGAAGTCAACAAACTGTAATAGTCATGGAGATGACAGCAACCGGCAGTGCAACTGCAAGAAGAGTGGGGTCACATGCTTCGTGTCACTGGTGGGATGTATTATATAAATAATACCCCAGTGATGTATTATATAAATCGATTTTTCAACAATTGGTTCAACTCCCACAGGAGTTGAACTTCAACATTATAAAGCATGTTATTACACACCTTTACAAACACATTGGTGAAGAAATTGTTTGGCAACGATTTAGTTGGCAGATTTGTGAAATCTCATAAACAGCCCTTACTATGATGAAAGTTTGATGAATGGTTTTGAAATGTATTTCTGGTAAGTCTTACCAATGTTAAATCAGATTATGATTAGAATATCCTCCAGTGGTAGAAAATTTGCATTCCTGTAAATAGCTGTGCCTGATGCTGTTCATATTCTAATTTCTGGTTTAAAAAAATAAAAAGTCATTTGCAGACTGTGCCCCCCCACCAACAACTTTCACCAGCCGCCACTGCTTTCAGGCCTTCAGAAAAGGGTTGTGGATGCTCATGCATCTGGAAGGTAACTTTAAAAGATCTCCAATTATTTAATAGAAATAATTACACTGTAATGGAAATGATCTACAAATACTGTAGATTTCAATGGACTGTCAGTTTGACTGGCCATTTGTTGCAAACGTAGGTCAAGAGCAGACAGTTTAATGCGAAAAGAAATCTCCAAGAATCCCAAAGCTACGTCACCGGATCTGCAGAAAACACTGCAGCTATCAAAGTACATGTGTCTAAAGTCAGAACGAGGCTGAACCAATTTTATCTGCATGGCAGGTGTGGAAAAATCTTTTGCTGTTCAAAAAGGACATTAGAGTAAAATGACAAACAAAATAGACTCTTGACCCAGTAAGCATTAGGCCTTGTGGTTTAATGTTTACCAAAA